TAAGCTCCAGTTCAAGCTTGCACGACAACCATGCGGTGCAATTTTCGTAAATTACAAATTCCGTCCTACGTGGAATCTTTGTTGAACTTGCAGTATTCTCATTGGTTATCTGTCCGACCCTGACTAACTGTGACATTCTGGCCGAGCTTCCTTGACGCAGGACTGCCAAGCTTCTTATCAAATAGCTCATGGTAGTAGCGGTAGTTGTAGCCATCATGACGGGGTCATAATGGTGACCCTCGATGAAAAGATCCGACCCGCATGTTATTCGTCATCCACACTAGTTCCTCATTTTTTAACTATTTTATTTTAGGCGGGAATTCTCGTTTTGACGGATGAGGAAAAGCGGACTCTTTTGGCTGAAGGTTATAGTATTCCTACGAGGCTTCCTTTGTCTAAGCAGGAGGAGCGTAACCTCAAGAAAATTCGACGCAAGATTAAGAATAAAATCAGTGCACAAGAGAGTCGACGCAAAAAGAAGGAGTATGTGGAGTCCCTGGAGAAACGGTAGGTAGTCTCTATCGATGCATTTCCTCCTGCCTGAACAGTGTGCCCTATTTATTCGACGCCAGATTGGTCATTTGGTGGGTTCGTTGCGTGCTGCCTAATAATCCCCTCTAGCCTTTTCTTACATGTGGTGCCCTAGTTTTGTCGGTGTGGCTGTTAGTCAGCAAGGTAAGCAAAATAAGCACGACAGAACAAACAAAGAAGCTAACTGTTGTCGCTTTGTTGGCAAGGTAAATGTGAGGAAAGGGCGTTTCAACCAAATGACGATGCTTAGGTTCCTCTTCAACCGACTACTTTCTTGAAATGCCGCATATTCTATCTATTGCTAAGGAAGCTTATTTGTTCTTTCCAATAATTTTAGCAGTTCTCTTTTTCGTGAATCTAAACTTTCCCTTCTAGCCCGATGAAATTTCTAAAGATCAATTTCACCTCTTTCAGGATAAGTTGTTTTCTCGTTCTGCTGCGCATATCACTTATTTTCCCTTGGAATTATTTAACTAATGAGTTCTGAGGGAACTACTTCATTAATATTACGAAAGAACGCGCACCCTAGGCCATACTAATGGCCCGTGGTCGTCCACCTTGAGTGTTAAGTTATTCGGTCGAGGTGACACACTACAATCAGACTACTTCATTTCACCTCTTCGGTTTGTTTGTAGCATTGAATTTTCGAAAGGCTCTTTCTGCATACCTACCTGTTCATCCACCCAACTACCCGGCCCTTCAGCACAAGCACTTGCATATCTACTCACATGCCTGTAACGTACCACTGCCGCACAGGGGGACAAGTTGGTGCGCTAATCACATAACGCAGTAGTGTGTAGTTTTAGTGCAGTGCAGAAATTTGTCCACCTAAACTTTGTTTTTTTCCACTCCCTCTCCATGACACGTGTATGCACACTCCGTAAAATTCTATTATTTCAGACTAGTAAAAGAGGAGTAAAGTCTATGTGAGAAGACAGCACTAGCGACCTTGTACCAGTGTCAATAATAGTGTATTTACTCTACCTCGGCTGAATGTGTGTCCAATGCGGTGTGCAAATGGACCTACATCTAGTTGAGAGCATGAGATGGAACTGAACCGCTTCATTTGTGAAACGATGCTCGTATTGTTCCCCTTCGGGTTTATCGCTTGACTAGGGGGCTGTTTTGCCAATAGCAGAGTTGATATCCGGGGCGAAGAGAGGTCAGCGATGAGGCTTAAACTACCTTATTGGCGTTCTGGCATGATGGATGGTGTCATAGATCTGTTTTGAATCGAGCTCCAGCTCACAGGGCTGAGTGCAGGGTGCGCCTTGACATCAGGAAACCATGTTTGTAAGAAGTGACGTTTTTAACACTTATCACAAGTGGTAGGGTTCGAAAGGTGGTAATTACTTTTTAAAAAGGGGATTAAAGCAAATCAGAAAGCGAAGGTCTTTGCGATGCCTAGTTCTTTTATCTCTTTTTTGCAATCGAAACGTTTGTACAGACAATGCTGCGAACACACACGGTCTTCATTCGCCTAGAATAATAAGGTGTGATGAGAGTGTGGTTAATGAAGCACAGCTGTGTGAGAGTTGTCCTGATGCCTCAATAATATCATTTCTCAAGCTATTAGATAGACGGAATTAGCGAACACAGGCAGAAATAGTCAAAGAATCATATGATTGAGCCTTGCTGTTGGAGCCGGAACCGAAAACTTCCCTCATTTCTTCAACCAACGTAATGCAAGCAATTAAATGACAAATGCAAAAGAACACAGTTTTGGTATCTTAAAGGAGTTGTCCTATGCCGACCGTGGCATTGCAACGAAGCTAATTTCGTTACTGTTGACCTAACTTGGCTACAACACTCTAGCAGGTTGAATTGCATGACCCAACAACACTGTGGCGGTATCAACAACAGCTGAAAGTAGGCGTCCAGGTGAGTATTTTAGGCCAAATTAAGGTTGTTGTGTTGTAAAATAATCAAGAGGAACGGGCCTCAGTACAACAAAAACATTCTACGGCAGCGTGTTTCTTCTCGCCTTTTTTTTTGATACTCGGTATCTGTCTAGTGTTCATGCTCATTGGTAGAGAAACAATTGTCCCTGGTGTGGTTTTGTTCGGCAAAAGTTTTGTCTTTGCTCCTAATTTGTCCAGATGTTATACGCGGTAGACTGCTGAACGTTAACTGGCTGTAATGTGCTGTGCTGTAATGTTGCGATGAAAATAGAACCATTGGTGCCTTTATTCACACGTTCACCACCACAGCCTGTTGTGTCCGTGTACTTGGCGTTGTCTGTTGGCAGAATTTGCCAGAGGAGACTTGGCATCCACATAGCTGACATGTAGACGTCAAAATGAATGCAGAAAAAATTAATCTCCCATGATTTTCCGTATTGTCTACCACTTGTTCCTGTGAGACACATGGAACGATGTTACCTCTGCAGCTCAGGGCCAAGACTTGGATGGAAAAGTGCAATTCTTCCGACCTTAATGAACATGTTTTGTTAGGTCAACAAATATTGTGCTTAATTTGGAATTGACTAGGTACACAGGATCCAGGCCTTCATCATTTTGACATCATTGTTATTTCTAGGTCTTTCTTTTTATTATAGAAGCAAGGATAGGAGCTCGTCACAATTATTGATTAACAAAAGTAGTTTGTTTTCCTTGTGCACTTAGTTTATTTTAATCTCAGCATTGGTCGCTTGCATGCTGCAGAACTGTTTTAATTAGCTGGCACTCTTGACATTAATGAATAAGTGCTTTTGAAATGACGCTCTTAGTCCTTAACTAGAGGACTGCTCCTCACAAAAGCAGAGGAAGGCGGCATCATATTAACTACCCACGAGGCAGGGATCGTGTTTAGTGGATCGAAATTGAGCCTTCCTTCACGTGCTTCACATCCCCGGTTAAACGCTCATCTGTGATTGTTTGGACTTCAGCAACAAGATCGTGGTGAAAAGTTCCACGTACAATCCACGGTACACAGTATAGATGTAGGATAGACGGAAATGAGTGGTTTATGACTAAGCCAGCACATTGTCTCGTTTCATATTAACATTGTTGCTAATGTGTTAACAGATTGTCCCCTTTTAAAATTAGAGCTCTCCAAAAAGTAGGAGTAGAAAAGGACAGATGTATGAGCTATCTGTGTGTGAACGACTTCCACTCGCTTAGGTTTTGTGACATTCTTGGCTGAATTGCTTCGTCGCTCACGCAAAGTATCATTGACACAGTCGTCCTATTCTTCATTATCAAGAGTAGAGGATCTCTCTGAAGCTGATCCATGTACCCTCATTATCAAATTTCCATTGGTGGAAGCATTTCTGCCACTGTCACCTCCAGGTGCCTGAGTATCTGGAATTGGATTTGAGGTAGCAGAGCAGACACTCAACTCACACTCATCAGACCCAGCGCACCTTTAGTGGGAGTTGGAAAGTAGGGTAAACACATTAAACAGCACCATACCGGTGGACTGTGGCATCACCCCAATGCCTTTTGAGGCATTGAAGTAAACTCCATCAAAAACTGCTCAAGTTTTTTGATCATTTGAGGGATCTGTGAGTCTGGTAGCCTAGAGGATGCGTACACCGGGTGCCGTTTATAAAAGTCATCACTTCATCATAATTACTGAACCTTCAGTGCTGTGATCGCCTGGTTTCTCACTTGCACCAGGTACAACCCGATAGTTAGATGCACACTTTCAGCACTGTTCACCAACGCGCTCTCACGCTGTGTGTCTTTGAGCAGTCTTACCTTAGAACCTGTTTGTTCGTGTAAATTTTGTATCCATGCTCAGCCATCTCCCTTCAAAGGCTTTTTAGTTGTCTGCATTTTATATGGTCAGCTCTCAAGTTAGAAGACTATCTTACCTCCCGAGGATGTTCCATGAAGCGTAAAGAGGTGTAAGGTGGATGAAAAGATAGGTCATCAGGAGGTGAAATTTGCACCCATGCACTGATCTAATTATTTGTTTTGTCACTGGAGGACAGTTTCAGTTAACCCTCACGCCTCTACGGCTTGAGCATCTGTTTCAATGCTGACATAAAGGAAGACACCCAAGTCCTGTCACATATGCTGAATCGATCCGAAAGACTCTTCCTCTCATTGTGAAGAAGGTCTCCAAACTCAGTAAATCATTCAAGCCTTTGTGCGTACCAATATTAGCAAAATCTTCTGCAAAACACTTCAATTATGATTCGTTTAGAAATGGTGATTTTAGTGTCCCTGAAAATAGTCGTTATGGCAGTGAGGTGAAAGTAGAATCACCGTGTTCGAGATCATCACCAATTCTTTTACGGTTATAAACTATTAACCTTTAAATGAGTGGTTGAGTGTCCCATCGTGTCAACTTCATATAGTACCACCGTAACAGCACCTGTCTTAGTCGCTTGGCCATTAGTGATTCGCATTTGGCGTAAGTAATCGTCGTAGACCCATGTAGGATAAGTAGAGGCGAAATAACAATGAAAAGGTAGGGATAACGGTACCTTGATACTATAGGGTGGAGGCCTACGCTCAAGAGAATGCCGATCTAAAGCGTCGATTGGATGGTCTGGAGGGAACGAACCGATCCCTTTTAAGCCAACTGCGTCATCTTCAACAAGCAGTGAACAGGTCTTCTTCTGCGTCTTCCAATTCCACCCCATCCTCTTCCTCCTCGACAACATCATTGTCGGTACCACAAAATTCCAATTCCACCGCTTCTGTGGGTTCCAAAAAGTCAACTTCCACTTCCTTATCCTCTTCTTCCTCATCCGCCTACCTAATGGTCTTCTTGGCCTGCTTTGCGGCTCTTTTTGCTGGCCAACCTGGCACCACCACCTCAGCAACCTCTGGCTCCAGTAATTATTTCCCTGCATCATCCTCATCTCCTAAAGCGCTAGCCACTTCGGGGCACATTGTGGGCGACTTGTCAACATTTGGCTCGTTGCATCAGGTGAGTTCCACGGATTTTGAGAACAAATCAGTATCAACTACCCTTTTAAGTCAGCAGTCTTGTTTACGCCCATACAAAATGGAATACTTTGCACTGGAAAAGTACTGCGAGATATCCCACCCAAATGCTGCCGCTGCATTGTCTGACCTCTATTTGAAGGCGTTGCAAGTTACACGAACCCAATCGAGCCAAGGAAAGGTTCACCACTCACTAATTGAGGCTCTTTATAGATTGGATATACGTGGACGACAAGAACGCAGAAAATGGGTCCGCGATTAGATGGCGATTACGCTCGAGGGCCGAACGTGAGTTACATGCGAGAACACCCAACGGGAACCGCGTCCATCCACCGCATGCATGAGTGGGCTCGCACACCGACCTACTTCAAGGAAGAGCGGGATTCACATTATCATGGGACAACTTGTACCAAAAATTCACGTGAGTTTAAGCCTGCGTCTCTCGTTAGTTAAATGAAAGATAACTCTTTACTTTGGATCAAGTCTGGAGAATTTGGCAAAAATCAAAAGGTAATTCCCCACTAATGCGAAAATACAGAGCATTCAATGCTAATTTATTGGCAGATTATCCTTTCAACATTCCTGAACTTCGATAGCTGCCACTAAACACCTCGCCCCAACTCACCCCATAAAATACTATTGTTCTGTCAACTTTCGTTTTTGCGAGCGTGGGCCTTAGCGATTTCAAAACCGATTAATTTTCCTTGTCGCTTTCAAGATTACTGTCTGGCATGTAAGTGATGGTTTAGCTATCCCACTGTTTATACCATAGTTTACAGGTAAACACGGAGACTTGATTGACAGCTTTACGACTTGTGCTCTTATTGGTCTACTCAAGGTCCCTTTTTGCATCCCTCAAAGTCTACTTGATGGTGAACAAGATCTGCATTGTTAATGTTAAGTGTAGGAGTGTAAGAAGGCTTCTGATAACCTGAAAGGCGTGCAAACTCGTGTGAGTGCGTCAATGCCATGAGGCTTCCTCGCATCGAGTGAGCTTCCATTTAATCCAGTAACTTGTGTCGCGCTTTAATGAAGAGAGGTGTCTTCTGAAATTGTGGATTTGAGCCTCAAATGATCATAGAAGTTTCGTCAAATCACATCCAGATGTGCCTTATGGGCAGTTCATTAGGCAAATAGATTGTTCAATGAAGTTTCTCTACATGTGATGACAATGAGATCCTAAGTGCTAAGGATGCTTCGCCCTTTCTAAGTTTCCTCATATAGTAGTTCTCCAATGAAGACGAATCGCGCACCAATGGACTGAGCTGAAGCACATTTATTTCTATGGGAGCAGCAGATTTCCCCACCATTTAATAGTGTTTTTTTTTTGCTGGTTATTACGTTGCCAACTTCTGTCTCCTCTAATAGCTCCCCTCGCAGAGCCACGAATAACAACGACCAATATGAAGAAAAAAACACCTAAGTGGGTGGGTCTGGAATCGATCCAGTTATTGTGGGCTAAGTGCCTGTCAGGCGATCATATTGCAACGCCTTCTGGTGGTGAAATACGCCAAGAATGCATGAGCTGTACTTGCATTCTGAGGTCCTTGTTCATTTGAATATGGTTTACTACCAAACAACTGAATTACTTATTATACACCGCTTGCAGCACAACCTGAAATAATCGGTCTTTTGAGAGAAGTACTCAAGTGCACCAATAATCCAGTAATTGATTGTCACAGTTATGTCAGCTCACGTACTCAGTGCAACCGATCATCAGTTCCTTTGTTCTTTCTCCGCTTTCTCAGCAAACCGGTCCCGCATTTTGGGTTCAGCGAAGGAATTCGATGAATGCGAGCCAGTGACATGGTGGGAGTACTTCTTCGATCAATCAAGCGGCAAGTGTCGCGACGACAGGACTGCCTCCAAAGTAGTTGAAAATGACCTCTTGGTTAGAAGTACCAATCTCGTCAACGCGGCCAACGCTACAGCGCAAAATCAATTCGTTCTGGCATCGGTCCAACCGAAGTTCGCCCTTGGGCTGGCTAATGGCATTCTGCTGTCAGCTTGATTCTCTTGAGTTTACACTCCAATGCTTATTAAGCGGGAAACCCCTACTCTGTCCCAGACTCTACGGTCTTTCAAATGGCAGTTGGTCACTCGAAGACGTCCGTTTGTCAATGTATCGTCCTGTCTTAATCTCCTCCTCGTGCTTGTGTGCAAATGATGTAAAAGCCTTGTCCACTGCCCAGGCATGAGACACCCTTTCTCTGGTAGTTTCAGTCCTTCCTCCTCCCTCCTTGTTTTGCATTTACCTTCTCCAGAAAAACCCGGTAGATGTGCTTGTGACTCGAATCGTGGTGTGGGTATTTGTCTTTCCACTACCTCTATCATTACTCCCATACCCCTGCCCTTCTCTCCTTGCTGATAGCACTTACTTTTAATTCGTTTTGTAAAGTGGGAATACTTCGCCCTTATACCCATTCACATCCCTATCATCAACATTGTCATCGGTGCTGTATCATTGGTGAGGACATTAATTTCATCATCCATCGTCAATTTTGCACGTAATCGGTAATAGACACACGATGTATACTGATGTTCCCCAGTAGTTGTCGCTAGGTCGTCGAGTTCGAAAGAGAAACTCGACCCAACGAACGTATCAAACGACACCAAACGCGCCTCATCAAAGTACCGGGCTGTAATGAGGACAAGAAAACTCAGGAAAATAGCTCATCAGGAGTAAAATTGCATGAGTTTAGAAGAAAAAAACCAGGCAAATGAGCTTTCTTTCCCACTTTATTGCCTTCAGCGAAGAGAACTCTACCTCCCAAGACATCTTGGCATTTCAGGCACTAAGGTCAAGCAAAATTGTATTCTAGCACAATCACTTCTGCCAAGTATTCAAGATGGAAAGATGCCTACCAAGTAGGTTTCAAAATTTCGCAAAAGCTCGAAAAAGACTTTGGCAAAGTGGTAGCTATATCGTTTATACCACCTTCCCAGAGACGCTCATGTATAAGTATAAAGATGCAAAGCTAGTCGACCAGGTAACCAAGGATCTTTAAATAATATAACTTAAGAGTGATTACATGTAAAAGATTGAAGAATAACAGTCAGAAACCCTGATACAAAGAAATGACCGGTAAACGCAGTCGCAGACATTTACTTGGGATCGGGCAGCTTGTCGAAAGACTCATCCAAAAATCTTCCTTGACGGACAGCATTTACGGAGAAAAGGTCTGCAAAAAAGTGGCTAAGGATAGAATCAAGTCCTTCAAGTTCCTATCAGAAGTTTGGGGACTTGTAACCTTAGGTCAGCAATAGAACATGCAGATTTATAGTCCGAATAGCCTATACACAGCACAAAACTAAGTACCAGCTGAGAAATAGACATGAAAATTAGGTCCGCTTTCTAAATCACATCGATAGAAAAATCTAGTAGATGCAAAAAGAACGGAATCGGTTTGGGTCTGATAAAGGATACAGGACCCTATGGCAAAGGCAGTCGCGGCGAGAGCCACAATCGTGCTTTTGTTTTTCCTGGACTTGTAGGCGGCCGCTCTACGAAAATTTGCAGCTTCGGTGTGCTTCACAAAGTGCTGTAGCACTGCATTTTTTGCATTTCCTTGAGACATTTTACGAACCTGAACGCAACCAAAAAAGATGCGGTCCTATACAGATGGGCCAGAATGTGCGCATGGGAAGGAAGGGGCAAATTCGTTTTCGCAAAGTAAGGAAAAGAGAGTGATTTACGGCAAAATGCATGGTGATAAAATAACTTCGTTTTTATACAAACACATAAACTCATACAAGCACGATTGATTTAATGGAGGAAGTAAATCCGTAAAGAGATCCTGTCGAATACTTCGCATCGAAATCAAGAAATGAGAAGTTCAAGTCAGTGTAAGTTGATGAACTTATTAAGTTATAAGATTATCCATCCCACATATATGATTTTCAATGTTGTTCACTTTAGACTAATAAAGTGGCCTCTTCTAAAAAACCATACATATAAATCCAAAACCAAATTCGATTCCTTACCTTTAAACATAAATATTTAGC